GTGTGTGTGTGCGTGCTCTCTCTCTCTCTCTCTCTCTCTCTCTCTCTCTCTCTCTCTCTCTCTCTCCAGTATGTATTCAGATACAAGCAGTTGGCTCACCGAGAATACGGCCTACTGCGCCCGTCGCGCACGTGCAGGGTGGTTCAGTGACCGCTGGAGGATGGAGGAGGATGGAGAATGCTATGCGCTGGACGGCGGGAAGCCATGGCTACCCCACCTTCCCGCCATCGTTGTTTTCCCAAATTTTTTCACCTCCCTTTTGCGGCTCCTCTACCACTCTCCCTCTTTTCGATTTCCCCCGTCTCCTGCTCCCTACCCTCTCTTCCCGTCAGCTGGCGCCACTCCGCTTTCCCCGCCAGCTGGCGCCACTGCGCTTTCCCCGTCAGCTGGCGCCATTCCACTTTCCCCGTTCACTGGCGCCATTCGCCCTCTCCCCTGACAATGGCGGGCTCCCGCCTGGTGGCGCCATCACCCCGTCAACCCTCAACCCTCAACCCGCCAGCGAGTTAGGGCCTCGCCAGACCCCGCCAACTACTCACGACCAAATCAGTAAAATGGCCCGCGTATCTTCAGCCAGAAGGTGAACAGATACACAGATACACTCGCAATTTTGTTTTCTTTCTTTTTTTCCTTCTCTCAAGCTCTTTCGCCTTTCACTACCTACCTACCACTACGGCTAAATTCGCAGCCCTAAGGGCTGCAGTATGGTGGGGTCCAGCGTCTGTATCAAGGTGGCCCAATTTTGGCCGCGGGCGACCACTGCAAAAGAGGGCATATAGGGGTCACAATGACCTGTCCTTCGAGCACTGGCGGAGGAACAGCAGCCTGTTTTGAGCCTCTCCGAAAATTTAGGAGGCGGACCGCCATAGATAAATTGTCTACTGCGTGGGTGTGGGGAACGCAGCCCTAAGGTAGCCAAAGCAATGAGACCAAGAGCGCGCGCAAGAAAAAGAGAGACACTTTGAGAGAGAGAGAGAGAGAGAGAGAGAGAGAGAGAGAGAGTTTTGTTCCATTTGTTGATACGAGTCAAAGAGAGAAAGAAAGAGAGATAGAGAGAGAGGGAGGGGGGGGAGCTACCACAGAGAGAGAGTGGGGCTGAATGGCAAAATTGAAATATGGGTCAAATTGAGGCCGCAATCTATTTTACGGTTGGAATGATTTTTTTTAAATTTATTTAGTGTTTTTCCTGGAAATATCAGAACAAAATTTACGAGTACTCAAATTTTCAAGTTTTTTCACGCATTCTTCTGAGCGCGAAAACTCACTGAATTTGGAGTACTTTTTCAGTTGGCCCACACGTGGCTAAGTGTCAAAAATGGAAAATGTGTCGAATCGACGTGATGATTATTTCGCAGTCTAAATGATTTTTTGAAAATGTTATAATATTATTCGTGGAAAGAATACGACCTCATCTACGGATTCTCAAAATTTCAGATTTTTTTGCGGGTTCGTCCGAGCACAAAAAATCGTCAACGTTGTCACTTGCAAAACGTCTATTTCATTGCGCCTGACCTTCCTGTTTTGAGAAGACGGGCCTCACCGTTTGGGCATGAGGGCCCTTTTGCAGTTCACATGCCCTCACTTGTTTTGGGGGTCCGCTTCTACTCGAGGCCCGGTCCAACGGCCTCCAATTTTTTTTTGGGTCCACTTCCACCGGAAGACTACTCCTTTTTTTCAAAAGTCCAGGTTCTACCAGAGCTAGTTGTAGGTAGTCCGCAATTTTGCCAAGGACCGGTAACCCAAATTTTTTTGCCCCCTAAGAACCCACTTTGCGTTCTGGTCGCCCGATGCAAAAAATGCGACACCTTGACACAGACGCCGAAGCCCACTATACCGCAGCCTTTAGGGTTGCGAAATGAATTGTCTACCACGTGTGCGGGGGGAACGCAGCCCTAAGGTAGCTAGAGCAATGAAACGACGCACCCGCACGAGAGGGAGAGGAAGAAAGAGAGAGAGAGAGAGAGAGAGAGAGAGAGAGAGAGAGAGAGGGACAGAGAAAGAGAGACAGAGACAGAGACAGACAGAGACAGACAGAGACAGACGGAGAGAGAAAGAGAGAGAGAAGGAGAGAGAGAGAGAGAGAGAGAGAGAGAGAGAGAGAGAGAGAGAGAGAGANAGAGAGAGAGAGAGAGAGAGAGAGAGAGACAGACAGACAAATAGACATATAGACAGACAGAGAGAGACAGGCAGAGAGAGACAGGCAGAGAGAGAAAGAGAGAGAGAGGGAGAGAGAGAGAGAGAGAGGCTGAATGACAAAATTGAAATATGAGTCAGATTGTGGCCGCGATCTATTCATAACTAAAATAAAATTTAAAACTTTATTGAATATTTTTGTTGCAAAGATCACAATAAAATCTACGAGCAGTCTAATTTTCAGCATTTTCCACGCATTCTTCAGACCGTGAAAAATCACTTAAGTTGGAGTACTTTTTCCTTGGCCCACACATGGTTGAGTGCCAAAAATGAAAAATGAGCCGAATATGCGCGGCAATTGTTTCGCATTCTTAGTGATTTTTTAAAATGTTTCCGATATTTTTCCTGGAAATATCATGACCTAATATACGGATTCTTAAATTTTCAGATTTTTTTGCGAATCCGTCTGAGCACAAAAAATCGTCAAAGTTGTCTCTTGCAAATTGCGGGACTAAACCCTTCGGTGTGTAGGGGCCTAATGGAAGGCAACGTTCACGCCCGTCCGCACTAGACCCTGACTCAACGCCCGAGCCTGAGGGCATTGGCCCCTTTTCTTTTCGGGGTCCGCTTCCACCCAAGGACCGGTCCTCCCTTTTTCCAAAAGTCCCGGTTCTAGAAGAGTTAGTTGTAGGTCGTTCGCAATATCTTGAGGGACCAGTCCCCCAAAAATTTCCACCCCTTAAGAACCCACTTGCGTCCTGGTCCCCGGTCGCCGAAAATATGATACCTTGACACAGACGCTGAAGCCCACTATGTTGCGGCCTTACGGCTTCGAATTGGTGGCAGACAGCCTCAAAAGAGGGCATGCGGTCGATAGCTGGTATGCACTAGTGCTTTGGCGGAGGCCTTCCAGTAGGTAAGCATTTCAAAGGACCAGTCTCACGCGTAAGCCCCACTCGTAGTGGCTTGCCATTCAACACTTTTTTTTTTTTTTTTTTTTTTTTTTTTTTTTTTTTTTTTTTTCTCTCTCTATATATATATTTTATATATATATATATATACCCATCTATCTCTATCTCCATCTATCTATCTATCTATATGTATGTGTGTATGTGTGCACTTAGGCCCCATTGCTTTGACTCGTTGGGTCAGGCTCACAATTCGGAACCCTAAGGTTGCGGTATGGCAGGTTCACGCATCTGTGTTTGCAACACGAAGGCTGCACCGAAAGAAAACACATCTCTCTCTCTCTCTCTCTCTCTCTCTCTCTCTCTCTCTCTCTCTCTCTCTCTCTCTCTCTCTCTCTCTCTCTCTCTCTGAGTTCAATCTACATCGATACACATGGAAAAAAGAAGCAATCCAGGTAGAAAGAGGAGTCGCACCAAGAGGGAACCATCAGTTGCAGGAACCCTTCTTCTTCTTCAGCGCGTTTGTCGCAAATCGACAAACTTTCATACGTGCTGAACTTGGCCCTGCACATGAGCGAAGAGGGAGAGAGAGAGTAAAAGACCGAGGGGAGAGAGTGGGGGAAGCAGAATGGGTGATAAGGGAGGAGGGAGTTTGACAGCATTTGCGAGGGCGAAAAAATGACGTGGATGGGTTAGGAGGAGGAGCAGAAGGAGAGGCCGGTGGAGCTGGAGTGGTAGGAGAGAGTCAACAGGGATAGGTTGGTTCAATATCTGAAAGAGGAGGCAGGTTCCTTCATTAATCCCATAGTGAAGTGCAAGCGTCAGGTTATTCATAGACTAGGTCACTGGTTCCCAGTGAAGCGAAACACTTTTTTTTTTTTTTTTTTTTTTTTTTTTTTTTTTTTTTTTTTTTTTTTTTTTTTTTTTTTTTTTTTTTTTTT